ATATGTATATGTTGGAGTGACAAAGCTTTTTCGCGTATAACTGACAGATCTCGCACCTATGTTACTGTTTCCTAAGAACGAGTTGGACGACATAATTGCCGGAGAGTGTGTGCTTTGTGGTTCTCTGATGATCCGTTCACTAGACGAGCCGTTTATTGATGATGAGGAGCTCAATGATGTCCTGGCGAGTTGGGCTATTTAGTGATGACACACAGATTCTGTTTGGACTCAAGTAGAATCAATTTGGGATCTAATAAAATGATTTCTACCGAATGTCAGTGATTGCCAATTCTGCGACTAGAAGGCTGTTAACGTACTTCCTTATACTTCCGCATAGCCTCCAATTGTCTAGATAAAGAAATAAGTTCCCAAATCGATCACAAGCTATATACAGGGTGAACCAATTAATTTATTGCGATACATTTTATTGAACAGCTGGTCAAGCGCATCTCACAGAGTCACTTGCAAATTGTCTCGTAACTGATTATACTTCGTCCTCGCATACAGTGTTCGCAGCTGTAAACCTGTATTGTTTAAATCTCCAGTCGGTTGAGGTGTCCGATTTATGTTTGTAGGGCGTACCGTACGACCCAGGTCACTCATCAAGCTGTACTACATCTGCGACATCGCATTGAACTGTGATAGTTACCGGTTCGGTTCTCGTGTTTATGGGCTGTACTTTAATGTCGAGTGCGAAAGGCAGCGTCTGGTTCTCAGGTTAGAATTGTGAGATCTGTATGGGCAAGAACGATCATCTATTATGTAAGCTGTTCCCGAAGTTTACATTCTTTGGTACAAGTTTGAGTAGCTATATAAAATGAAATACAAAGAAATTGCAATGGAACGAGTGCTAGAATTGTTTTGCAATTTCGATCTTTTTGTAGCAGAACTTTTTTTTTCTTCGTACTGTGAGAGAAGCTCACAATTTGAGCTTACTGACGAACATAGCACTAGAACCTGTCGTTGCACTATGCTCGTTTCTGATATTGGGTGGTTGTGCGCCCGTCAAGTCCGCATCATTTCCGGTCGTGCAGATGAAACTCATTCAATCTATTACGAGATTCAAGTGATTATATTTAATAGATATCGGGGCTGACTACATACAGCGGTTCATACTGACTGCAAAACATGGGATCCGCTCATCAGTGGCTACGTGTGGCACACGCATATGTGAATCTGTTTACACACAAATTCTAACCATCATGTCATCATAAATGGGCAAGGCATGCATAGGGGAAGCATTAAATTTAGTCCGCCTGGAGAGATATCTCGTATATATATTCACGAAATCTATCTGAGTACAGGAACATTATTAAATATTCTATTGAAAGCCCAAGTAAGCTGAACGTATCATCTAGCTTTTAATTTTTAGGGGAGCGTAAATTATATTTCTGGTGGGTGTTCACCATACTCTCCCTCCTTGTACGTTAGGCGGTTGTTGAATTTGATACCCGAGCGAAACGGGGTCACAAAGATTGATAGTAGTCGCGGCATCGCCACACACCCCCGCAATTGTAGCTCCATCTTGTATTGTCGAACTGATTGCTGTTGGTAGAAAATCGAGGGTTAAATGTAATTTTTTTATCGTGACAACATGGGGTTTATTCATTTCGAGAGTGCCTTTTTTGTTACCCCCTTTTCGAAGTGAGCTATAGGATAAACATATAGTCCATATATCACATAGACGCGTACAGCAGAACCAGTTATATATTATCTATTACCAGCTACATGGAGATTTAGGAAAGTTCGTCCGGTATTTGTTTCTTTTTCTGCAGGCTTTGAAAATTGTGTGCATGTTGGGTACTTTTGAATCCTGTAATCTTGCAAGTGACTAAAACGTAACTCCAAAAATAAAATGAGCTCACCTTATACTCTGTAAATGAAACACAAGACATTTATTTCCGATCAATTGCTTCTCTGGTCTGTCAACTACATACCTTGTTTACTATTTCCGCCGTATCGAGGATACGCTATGCCGGCGAAGATATCGGATGTGCCTCTCGCACCATGGGCTCCGTATAAAGTATCCGTAGTAGACCGCAGAGTTGCTATGAAGATGCTCATGAAACCAGTCATCCACGCGCCAAAAACACATAGACGCATACGTAGAATGCCAACAAAGTTGGTGTGAGCTGGATATAGTGTATATATACACATGTATGAAGGATAAGTGTATCTAGCATGTTTGCGGTGCATTAGTATGTTTTTAACATCCTGATGAGGCTCAAATACGATTAGCAACTACAGGAATGACCAAATTGAGTGTTTCAAATATTCACTGAAAGAATTTGATCACAAAAATCGAATAACCGTTAGGCTAATGCATACAATTTTTAGCGCTTGTGCTGGATAGCAAAAAGATCTATTTCTCAACTCATATTGAGGCGTTGCTCGTCTTATAATGGGTAAAAAGTAGCAAAACGCAGCTATGCTTGTCAACAAGAATGGTATATGCGTTGCTCCGGAAAATTGCGTGGTGCTTGAGGGATCGCCTTTCCAAATGATTGCAGGGTTTTATATGACAGAGGGTTTTGTTTATGAACAAAGAATACGTACATACTTATATATTTGACAGCTGACAGTTGTAGGATTGTATATATAGATATAAATTGGTGCAGCACACAGGCGACCGAAGCATAGATTCACGTTCTACATCATATAACATGCGTATCTGTATACTGCAACAAAGCAAAATAGTACGACTTTTATATGTGCTTAACGTTTGCTTGTATGCTTTACACGCTTATAAATTACGATTGTGTTGTGGAAAATTGCAGGCAAAGCAATGAATGCATAAACAATTCCATTTGCACACCTGCGCGTACGGCAGTGCAGTTTGAGCAGGGATTTGAAGGCTTAAATAATTTACCCATCTTGGCTTAGTTTGCATATACTCGGGTTTTATGTTCAATCTCTACAAGTGTATGAACATAGGATGAGGGATAAGAGACACGGTGCTAGCATATAAAATCTATGAAATATAAATATAAAGCATACTGGTACCACTGCTCGTGAAGGATGTAGCGAAATATTTTATATTCCGGAGATCAGCAAAACGTAAATAAATCTAAAATTCAAACAGTATGACGACGGCTTCAAAGTTCAAGCCTTCTTTTTAGTTCTTCAACTTCCTTCTACAATCTACAAGGGGTAAATTTATAATTTTCAAGTTGTAAATATATTTATGGAATGGGTCAGTTATCCAGCGAATATGATTCGCCTAGCGTACAAAAAAATGGTTTTAATAGCAGGAGTTAGTGAATGGCGCGATTCTAGATTGAAGTTTGATACCAAGTGCACATGGGCGTGAGGCCCTCGTACTAACGTAAACAAAAACCAAGTGACGGTTTAAACCCCCAATTAGAGGAAAAGTAGGTTTGTCTTGAACCCCC